TGCCTTGGAGTGAGGTGTAGGGCTTTGTTGGCTCCCCATGGGAAACTTTGCTCATTTTGATGAGTGGGGAGTGGGGGTGGAGTGGAAATAGGAGCAAGGATAGCTATGTAAAATGAAAAAAGATTATATTTTAAAAAATCTTAGGGGAGGGGAGGGAGATGGGAGGATGGGAGGAGGTGGAAATTTTTAATAAAATAAAATCTTAGTTAAAAAAAAAACACTATCCCAGTAATTCAGAATATTGTGGAGGGCAGGCTTATCCCCTGGGACTAAATGTGGGGGAGATTCTTTTTGTGCTTTGTGAGGTCTCAAGCCTTATCCTAGGGTAAATGATTAAACAGCTCATTTACATGCAGTCGCTGAGGGAGAAAGCTCCAGCATTGTCCTTTAGTCACCAGACTAACCACTGAGATAAGTGTGAACAGCCAGGTCGCAGGAGCGGCTTGGATAGATAGGTGTGTCTCCGTTTTACCGAGATACTGATGTAGTCTCGCATAATTTCCAGGCAAGATCCTTCTTTTGAGTTCATGGATTCTTAGCTCATTTGCATGCTGGTGTTGAGTATGAATAGGTGAAGGAAACCGTCATCGCCTGACTTGTAATCTAGGGATAAAGACACAGAGCAAAGCGGTAAGACAGGAAGAGGATTCTGGGCGCCAGGTGGAAAGGGGAGGCGGCCGCAGATGGTTGCCTTTGGGCATGCTTGCGAGTAGGAATAGAGAGTCCTTCCTGCTGGGCAGCTGTGAAGCATGAGGCAGTAGGTGCCAGGCCTGTCTGAGCTGAAGGCTTGGACTTGAATAGCTGCCTTATGGGTGACTAGTTCAGGTCATCTTCCACAGGTGTAGTCCGTGAGACTCACAGTCTCCCACCAGTGGTTTGGGAGAAGGCACACAGAAGACCGGAAGCTGATGAGATGACCAGTATATAGTGAAAAGGATTAGCAATTGAAAAAGATGTCATGTGACCTGAGAGATCAAACGTAGTATATGTACAGGTGATGTTTTGCGCTTTGATAGACAAAATAGAGCTAGGTAAGCTTAGCAGAATCTCAAAAAAAACCAAACCAACCAAGCAAATAACAGCAACGGAACAGAAGAAGTTGGTCCGATTTCTGGAAAAATGAATCTCAAAATGAGCTGTTTCTTCTTTTAGTGTATCATGTTCAACTCAGAAAATTAAAAAATTCCATCATGGTTTGCACCGTTTAGACAAAAAAGTGGTGTTGTGCCTTTGTGTTTGTCTCAGCAAGTAGCCCTTGAGGTTGGCTTGAGGTGGAGACAGCCCAGATACTTACAGGATGGACAGATGAAAGGGTCGGAGTTGGTTAAGTCAGAGCACGGCAGTTCCCAGGGCTGCTCAGCAGAAAAGCCTCTGGGTAGATTGAGAAAGGCCCCGACGCCAATTGACATCCGAATGTAGAAGAAAGTGCAGCTGTGTCAGCGCAGCCTCATTTCTAACACACAGAACTTCTAGAAATAGAATGGGTTGCCTAGTGCATCCCCCATCAGGAGGCCTTGCGGATTCAGACGTCTGCCTGTTGGCACAGAGCAGAGAGGTCTCCTTTCTGGGGTGAAATGCCAGGCAGTCTTGGAAGACTGTGCTCTGCTCCAGGAGTCCAGAATTCTGTTTCCTAGCAGCCTTCTCGTCAGGAGAAACAAATATCCTACTCTATTCCTGGAACACAGCTCGGGAAAAGAAGTTCTTTATTTGGGGGGGGGGGGGTCTTTATTTCTGTCTCATAGTAGTGCAGGCTAGCCTTGAACATGCTAAGGAGCCGAGGCTAGCCTTAAATTCGTGATCACCTGCTACCACGTCTCAAACGCTCGGATTCCAGGCTCGTGCCACCACATCTGGCTGTTTCCTACACCTCATCTTTTGGAGTGTTACGAACACAACAGTTCTTCAGACTTCTAACCACGCCCTTCACCGTGGCAGCTCTCTCTCCACCCCTCCCACCTGTCCCCACACAGTTACTTGTTCTAGTTCCTTTCTTGGCAAAGGGGACACAAGGTTGGAGGAGCAGCACCTCTACAGTGCAGTTACTACCCGCAGCTAGCTTTTCCCAAGTGGTTGGGGGCTGGAGTGATCTCTGGGCGACTTGTGTCTTATGTGTTTGACTATTTAGACAAATAGGGTCATTATCTGCGGGAAACCCAAGTGTTCAGATCACACACACGTGTCTCTGTTTTGTTCCTCATGGCTCACTCTGTCAGGTGTCAACGGTGTTTGGGTCCTAAAGCATCTCTAACTTGAATTTCTAAAACTACTCTAGGTATGTCAGATGACATAATAGACGACAATTAGACGACATGTTTCTTCTTCCTAAGATCTAAGCCAAAAAGTGCAGCTTGCTAAATTACCTGCTAGACTTTATATATTTTACATATATAGTTTGCTTTTTAGTGATGTGTTAGAAAAGATATTTTAAAAATACTTTGTGTATGGGTGTTTTGCCTGCATGTGTATCTGTGTACCATATGCGTACAATGCCTTGTGGAGGCCAGAAGAGAGCCTCAGATCCCCTGCGACTGGAACTACAGATGACTATGAGCTACCATGTGGCCACTGGGAATTGAATCCTGGTCCTCCTGGGAGAGCAGCCAGCTCTCTTAATCTCTAAGACATCTCTCAGCCTCGGGTTTTGTATTATGTCGGTTTTCTGTTATAGGCAAGTTCTGGTTGGGTGTGGCAGCTCACACCTGAAATCTCAGCACTCAGGAGGCCTAGGCAGGAGGCTCATGAGTTTGAGTAGGTTGGATTATGTGGAAAGAGTGTCCTAGGGGAGGAGAGTGGAAGAAGAAGGGATGCATTGTGGGAAGGATGATGAAGAGAATCTCCTGCTGTGTTCAGGTGTGGGAAAGACGGGGACAGTTTATTAAGATCATTCATGATCTGCCAGAGGTGGTGGCACACCTTTAATCCCAGCACTCTGGAGGCAGAGGCAAGCAGATCTCTGTGAGTTCAAGGACGGCCTGTCTACAAAACAGGTTGCAGGATAGCCAAGACTACAACAAAGAAACCCTGTCTCAAAAAAAAAAAAAAAAAAACAAAAACAAAAACAAAACAAAACAAAATTTTTTCCCTGATTAATACTTGTTCTTGAACAAGGAACAGGAGCAACAAGAGCTTTTGAAGAGGTTCTTCAACTCTTCCATTGACATGAGGCCACTGAGTGTCATCTACAGAGAAACGGGGCTCACAGAATGTGGAAAGGAACTGTGTGCAAGAGCTGTGTGGTCCCAGGGGCTCTTTATTGGATGAAAGAGTATGCAGATGTGATCCTAGAATGCCTGAGACAGTCTGCAGATGTTGATAACCAGCCCTTCGGCTGGATGCATCCTCTCCTTACAAGATTATACTCTTCATCCACCATTCTTGGGTCTATGGTTGATAATGCCTCCTCTACACTCCTTGTTAGTCAAAGCATAAGGCAAATCCTAAATTGGCCCTTTTCCTGTCCACCCGAGAGGAAGTCAGCATTACGCCGTGCCTTGGGGCTATCACATGTGCCTGTAGAAGTTGCCCCCTTGATATTCAGTGAAACACAAAGTTTGTTACTTCAGCGTGTATTTTGTTTGGGAGACTTGTTTGGATCTCCTTTTCTAAATCCAGTTAAGTCCTAACCCATTGAAAACTCCTGGGTGGGTAATAAATGCTCTTGGTATTTCCCTGCCCCTCAGTCGGAATAGGCAATAGGGGACTTCCTGTCCTCTTCCCCCTCTTCATTCACAGATCTCTGCCAGATACATACAAATCAGAATTCAGTTTCTCTACAATCATGAAGACCTCTGTTCCCCTCTGTCAGCAGGGCGGTTTAGTTTTTTCCAGTGTTCGGCTTTTCTCTTCTTTCTCCTGGGGTGTGTTTTGCTTCTGTGGAACTTAGCCTTCTTGTTTCCGGATCGGTTTCTGGAGTCCCATCTGTTCTGGAGACCATGAACTCCTTATTCGTCTCTCCAAGGCAGCACAGTGTGTTTGCAGGGGAAACAAACGCCGTGGAATCAGAGAGAGCAACCTTTCTGTCCACGGGAAGGGGGGAGAGAGAGGCCCGAAGAAGTGGCCGCTGCCCCAGGGCTGCAGGCCCACAGGTGTGCATTTGGGAGCCTGAGGTCACAGAGAGGCAAGTGCCTCTCAATGGTGAAAATAACTGCTTTTAATTCTGCTAAGGCTAAAGTGGAGCCAATATATGCAAAGCATTGTCCTCGTATGGAGGGAGTAAGTGGTTTTGTGTGAGGACAAATTGTATTTTTTTTTCCTCTCTCTCTCTTTTTTTAATAAACAAGCTTTATTTTCAGTTATCATGTCTGTTTTACCCAAGTACTTTAGAAATAATGTGTGTGCCCTCCCTTATCACTTTAAACACTCGTTTTCTTGAGAAAGAGTCTGCCCATGAGCCAGCTGTGCCGAAACAAAACCACGAATTTGTTCTCATGTTGTACTTGATTGCGAAAGTGCCCCACGTTTTAGAGAGGCTTGCGTTTGTCGAAGAGGAACCAGGTGCAAAGTAAAAAAATGAGATGAATTGTACCAAGTACAGATATTGAGCAATAGCTGCCAAGTGGTCACATCGGATGGCGTCTTTGGGTTATATACATGGGAAATCAGACGTAGAGGAAGTCAAGAAAGCCTGCTAAAGTCGCATGGTCGCTCTCTCAGGCCACTGACGTCTTTCCCTGACACTCCATCAAACCACTTTCCCACCCGGATGTAACCCGAGAGTGTTCATGCCATAGGCTACAAGGGCTCGCTTTCATATCCCGATCTTACAGCCATCACCTGAGTGCCCCCATGTAGCTGCGCGGGTTTTGAATTACTTCACAGGTGGGGACTGGTGCATTGACTCAGACTCTGGTGAGCCTTTCATCTGATAGAATTTTCATGGAGATTTTCAGCAGGCAGCTAACTTGATGCAAACTAGTCATGTTAACTAACTGGCAGGAGACCTTTGAGCTTCCAAAATGTGTTTTCTAGATAATACAATTGTATTGTTTTCTTTGCTACAGGATACTTCTGACTTCGGTGACTTTGCTGTCTATATACTCGATAAACCTACTGTTGATTTGTTCCAAGGAAACGGGTAAGCTGAGATGTACAATTTTGTTGAAGGCAGGATGCTGATGGGCAATGTGTATTGTGTCGTTTAAAGTGAGCTCTCAGTTGTCCCTGTTTTTCTAGTTTGGGATCACTTCATTTGAAAGGCTTCAGCGTATCCTTAGGTCTTTGTAAACCTCGAACAAAGATCCTATGCTTTTATGTCATAGCTTCCAAGGTCTTAAGTAAACAGGCCTTTTGTGCTCTTTTGTGCATATTCCAAGGAGAAAATGTTACTCCAAAGGCATTGTGGGAGTGAGCATGCTACCCAGGACTTGAAGTCCTCTGGCCAGTGTAACACCTGAAATGTTTATTTTCTATTGCTGGGACACCGGATCATGTTTGCAATACTTTGACTTTTACATTAGCTGAAGCCACCTTGGCCAGCTGTTGTATACAGATGACTGGAATGTTTTGTAATAAATTCAGGGTCCGCCCATTATCTAGTTTAAACATCAGTCTTACATGAGGTTGAACAAAGGTTTAACTATAGCCTGACCCAAATTGCTTCTTGTGAAATTATGAACTTTTGAAATTGTGAACTGCCAACAAGAAGGATAAACTTCTTTTTCCTCCTTCCTTCCTTCCTCCCTCCCTCCCTCCCCCCCCCCCCCCCCCCCCCCCCCCCCCCCCCCCCCCCCCCTCTCTCCCTCCCTCCCTTCCTTCCTTCCTTCCTTCCTTCCTTCCTTCCTTCCTTGCTTCCTCTTCCTTCTTTCCTTCCTTTCTGTAAATTGGTTCAGGAATTTACTATTTATTAAAATGAACTGGTTGATCACTTGAGAATTTTGCTACAGCCAAAATTCTCTTCAGGCAGATTTGTCTGCACTTTCATTGGGCAGTTGCTTGTCTTTGAACTGTATTTCCATGTGATAAAAACTTATGTAGTGACTATTAGACATTGTTACATTTAAAACAGGAGGGATTGATGGGACATTATGCAGATACTTCTCATAAGTTTTGAAAAAGCGTTTGACAGCTTCACGCGTTTATATAGTGAATTTTAGTAGTTTTGCCCCCATCTCCACGCCTTCCAACTAGAACTTTTCCATCAAGTCTCCCCCACTTCCTTTTGTATGTGGTCCACTGAATTTAGCAGTTTCAAGCACTGGTGGGAGATTGGTTACTGGATCAAGGGCAACTATTGCTGGCTACGCCACTCAAAAAAATGACCCCTCCTCCAGCCACTGTCAGTAGTTCCTCAGGGAAGGGTGGAGCCTCATGGCCCTCCCTGGTCTGCGATGAAATTTTTGTGGGCCCAATCAGGTGCAGGCTTTGTGCAGACAACCACAGCTGCAGTGAGCTCCATAGTGCAGCAGTTGTGCCGAGTCTAGTAGACAGCATCTTGCTGCATCCCTCCCCTTTCTCTGGCTCTTGCGTCCTTCCCTCTACCCCTCCCCATCCTCTGGCTCTTACATCCTCCCTGCACCCCTCCCCATCCTCTGGCTCTTACATCCTCCCTGCACCCCTCCCCATCCTCTGGTTCTTACATCCTCCCTGCACCCCTCCCCATCCTCTGGCTCTTACATCCTCCCTGCACCCATCCCCATCCTCTGGCTCTGCATCCTCCCTCCACCCCTCCCCATCCTCTGGTTCTTACATCCTCCACAGCCCTTCTTCCATGATGTTCCCTGAGCCTCTGAGGAGGTAATGAGTTTTCCTATTTAAGGCCAAGCACTCCATCATCACTTACCTTTAGCACTGTGGCCCATTACAGCTTCTGCATTTGCTGCCCCCACAGCAAGAAGCCATTATTCTAAAAGGGTGAAGCGAGGCTGGAGTCAAAGTATAGGTGGGCTTCCTACTTCAAGGAGGAGACAATTCTCTGTTAGCCTAATCAGTTCAACACATTGATTCAGAAGAAATCTTTTTTTTTGTTTCAAGCATGAGGGTCTTGAAAAATCAAATCTTGATTTCAATATTACATACCAGATCCATGGAGTCAGTGTTTGGGACCCTCACCCAGTGTGACCTAATCTTTCCTTGTAATATTCCGGAAGCCAGCTTGACAAAGGAGAAACCATGCTGGTGTCTGACATTAGACAGGTCAAGGTGGTTCCAAATGACAGTGCCTTAGCCCTTCTAGTGCCGAGGTTTGAGTTTGGGAAAGGCTCAAGGAGCTTGAAGAGTAACACGCAGCATAAGGAGATGTTCGATCACGGCTCTCAGAGTCCCATGGTTTCTTATACTCCCAAATTCAACTTTTTAATAGGCTGCATGGTTTATGAAAAGCTTGGAGAACAAGTCTTTGGCACCACGGGGAAGCTGGTGATTTTTGGAGCCACCTCTCTACAGAACACTGGTGGTAAGAGCCTATTTCTCTGACATGACTTGGCCGTGCATGGCTATCATTGGCTTTTCTAATGCTGGGGGTTGGGTGTCCACATGCAGTTTAACAAACGTGGGCAGTGCGGCAGAGGCAGTGGCGGGACACTGCGGCAAGAGCTGATGTTGTCTGCGCTTACTGAGGAAAGCCTCAGAGCGGTTGCCAACTGTACCTTGTAATAAGAGCCATGGTATTGTGTTTCTAAACTTGCTCTTCTTCCACAGCGATGCTGAGCTATCTCTTCATAGTCAAAAACGAACTTCCTTCGGCCATAAAATTCCTCATGGGAAAGGAGGAGGAATTTTCGTAAGCTTTCGACCTTTTCTTGCTTCTGGTGTGTGATGTAACTGAACTGATTGCTCCAGTGGTTCTCAACCTGGGGCTCGCGACCCCTTGGGAGGGTCAAATGACCCTTTCACAGGGGTCGCATATGAGATATCCTGTGTATCCAATGTTTAAATAAATACACATACATACATAAATAATATGCTGGGTGGTGTTGGTGATGCACGCCTTTAATTCCAGCACTTAGGAGGCAGAGGAAGGTAGATCTCTGTGTTTTCAAGACCAGCTTGGTCTACAGAACAAATTCCAGGACAGTCAGGTCTACAGAGAGAAACCCTGTCTCAAAAATAAGACAAAAAAAATAATAATAATAAATTGTATGGTTGGGTCACCACAACATGAGAAACTGTATTAAAGGGTCGAAGCATTAGGAAGGTTGAGAACCACTGGCTTAAATGAAGGATGATCAAATTTTGTTTTATGAAAATTCTAGAAATAAAATGTTTCTAAGCCTGTTTTCTTCTGGGGGGGTGGAGTAGGGTGGGGAGGCAATATAAGTGGAAGAATCAGAGACCACTTAACTGTAGATTCATCTGTCACCCTGAAAATGGTAGAGAGCCTGGATTCTGTCTATGTGCTGTGAACAAGAATACATAGGAATATTTTAAACACAGAAGTAGAACATAGAAGAAAGAGGAAGGAAGGAAGGAAGGAAGGAAGGAAGGAAGGAAGGAAGGAAGGAAGGAGAGGGAGGAGAGAGAGGAAGGAAGGAAGGAAGGAAGGAAGGAAGGAAGGAAGGAAGGAAGAAAGAAAGAAAGAAAGAAAGAAAGAAAGAAAGAAAGAAAGAAAGAAAGAAAGAAAACTGGATCTACCTTCTTTCTTAAAGAAAGTCAATGACATTTGGGGAACAAAATTTCCATGAACTGACATCATTAAAAATGTAATTTACCCCAGGGAGCGCTGCCAGCAACATTTGGTGCAACGTTATGTTTGACCTCTCCTATAAGAGCCCTTGTCAGCCTCGTCTCTGCTTTTCCTTCAAGGGAAGGGAAAGAAGCTGTAACTCCCATGTTCTCTTCAAGGTCAAGTGCGAAGGATCCAGGAGGGGGAAATGCCTACCTGTAGGTTCTCCATCCTTCCTGATACCATCCAAACAAAACAAAAGGGACATTCTCTTTAAATTATTGATAGGACAAGTTGTAACCTGACAGAATGCCACATATGAGACTTGCTTTGAAGCCACATAAATTATTTAATTCATTGGAACACCAAATCTAGCCAATGGGAGTGGGGGAAAGAAACTGCCCCTTCCATAGGTCACATGGGGACGAGGCAGTAGTAAAGGAGTGGCGGGGTTAAAGTATTTGACCAATAATCCTCAAAAAGAAAATAGTAAAAGGTAATGATAAGAATAAATATATTTTATATATACAGATGAATGAAAATGCATTGTAATACATTGTGAAATTTTACATTTGAGGAAAGCAATGTCACTTTCTAACTGGAGACTGTAACCTAGCCTCTTGCATGTCTTTCAGAGCCTGGTACGTAGACGGCCGTGTCCTGGTTGTGATGGTCACCTTCGGCATAATCCTCCCGCTGTGTCTCTTGAAGAACCTGGGTGAGCAGAGACCTGGCCCTTAGCTCAGACTCTCTGGTTCCAGTCAGAAACAGAAAACTAACACCTTTGCCTGCCTTCATTATGGCAAAAGAAATCATAAATTGCAGCTGTTAACGAGACCTGGTGTTAATGTGAGATTAAAAACATGGGGTGACCTTATGACAAGCCCCTCCACTGAGCCAGAGCTGGAGGAGGGTGCTTCTGGGACTGCAATAGATTCTTACTGATTTATAGTCTGCCTAAGAGCTGGAGGAGGATGTTCTGGGACTGCAGTAGATTCTTACTGACTTCAGTAGCAAAAGTTATAGTCTGCCTAAGAAAAGCCCAGAAAATGGAATTCTCCTATAGCACTCTGGTTTGTTTTCTTTTGTTGTTTTTGTTGTTATTTCGTGGTGTTGGGGATCAGACGCAGGGCTTTGTGCAGGCTACCCGAGTACTCTGCTACTGAGTTACACCCTTACCCTATATCCCGAGAATTCAGAAACAGGGTCTCCCTAAGTCTTAAACTCAAAATCACCCCACCTTAGTTCGTTTGTGGTGTTTAATATTCTGACCACTCATACTCAGAGATTTCAAATCTAATAGCAAGACAGCAGAGAAGTCTCACGAATCACCCTTCAGTTTAGAATGTAGCCAGTCTCTGAGTTCACCCAGCACAGGAAAAAAGAGAGAGATTCAAAGTTTAAAAAAAAAAAAAAAACGGTAGGCGATCTCCAAGTCAGCCATTAGGTTTCAGCATTTGCTTTATGCTTGTATTTGGAGACTAGTGTGCCTGGAGTTATGGGAACTTTATACAGTGAATAATGAGGCCAGATTGCCATCTCTCCAAAGGCTCCAAAATGCATTTTTAAAATGTGGGCTAATTCAAGGCGAAAGTTTGGATTGGAGTTCTCTCAAAAATAAGGATCGCAGGAGGTTTTGAATTTTTGTTTGTTTGTTTGTTTTGGTTTAGCTAATCTGTCAGAGCTGAAGAGCATCTATGAAGCTTACAAGTAGATTTTTTTTAACTACTTATTTTTCTGCTCTCTGGGTTTCGGTAGGCTTTCTGTCCTGCCAGTTAGTATAGAGAATGGTCCTTCCCTGGGGGATAAAGATACTGTAGCTCCTGATTTGCCATTGTGAACGTTGTGGTGACCACCTTTCGCTGGCATTCCAAGCGGAGTAGGGCCGCAAAGCCTCTATTTTCAGTGGTTCCCAACCTGTGGGTCATGACCCCTTTGAGTGGGGCCAAAGGGCCCTTTCACGGGGGTCACCTAAGACCATCGGAAAACACAGATATTTTTACTTTGCGATTCATAACAGTAGCAAAACTACAGTTATGAAGTGGCATTGAAAATACAGTCGGGGGTCCCCACAGCGTGAGGAAGGTTGAGAACTACCGCTCTGTTCATGGAAGCTCACATCCGGTTGTGTTGGCCTCTCACAGAGAGAGAAGTTGATCAAACACGTTCAGGATTCCCACGTCGGTGCCTAGGAAAGAACTCAGGAGAGGATCAAGGATTAAGGCTTAGCACTACAGTGTACCAACACAGGGCCAAAGCCGGGAGGCACCTTTTTCCTAGATTCTAGCTCTGTGTCCTGGAATGTGCCAGGGATGCCTGGAATCAAAATATCAAATATGATGCTTTTATTCAAAGCCCTGCTATTATATTTTGCCAAATAAAATAGCATTATGAAATGACACATCTTGTTTTCATCTGGGCATGTGGGCATATTGGGAAGTCCCAAATTATGCTTGAAGTAATATGTTCAAGTAATTGATATTTTAATAATAATAAATATTAATAATTGTATTAATAAAATACTAATATATATTTTTCTTTTAAAAAGGGTATCTTGGCTACACTAGTGGATTTTCCTTGAGCTGCATGGTTTTTTTCCTAATAGTGGTAAGTCCTGATAGAAGCGATTGCTGTGGTTTTGGTGTTCAAAGCTCTGTGATGGTTATTCATGATTTGGCTTTAATATAATCTCGGTTGATTCTCATGTGTTTCTCAATGCCAGGTTATCTACAAGAAATTTCAGATTCAATGCATGAGTGTAGAGCAAAACTCAACAATCAGTGCCAATGTAACTGACATGTGTACGCCAAAATACGTTACCTTCAACTCTAAGGTAAGTTTGGTTAAAAATAAGTATGAGCTTTTTTATTAAGGGCAATATTCCTTGTGTGTGTGTTGTAATCACCTGTTGGGATGTATTCATTTTTAAAAGAAAACTCAGCATTGTTCCTCTGTATTTTATAGTCCTTTCGTGAGCGCGCGTGCGTGCATGCACGTGCACAAACACACACACACACACACACATACACACACATATTTTCACAGCGCACCCTTAGGACTAGTTTCACATTCTTGTGACATCTCTCTGGATAGTTGTCTCCACATTTCTCTTCCCGTGTGGCGTGCTGGTTGGCGCTTCGGTTAGTCAAGCTCTCAGCTCACTGCTGCCATGTAGAGGTGGTGGAGGGATCATTACAAATGGGCACTTGAAGACCTCTGTACTATTGGGGTTTGGTTGGCAGCCTGGAAGACAGTAGCCTCTGCAGTTAGTCACACAGGGGGTCCTCCAACTGCTGTGTGAAAACAAGGGTACTATTTTTGCATCGCAGGATTCCTGTTGGAAGATGCTTGGTACAGTTAGTGCATAAGATATGTTACTTTCCCTTTCTCTTGGGTTTTATTTTATTTTAGGGTTTTTTTGGGGTTTTTTGTTTTTGTATAAGAAACTTGGTTTGAGTCGGGCATGGTAGCTCATACCTTTAATACCAGCACTTGGAAGGCAGAGGCAGGAGGATCTCTCTGAGTTCAAGGCCAGCCTAGTCTACAAAGTGAGTTCCAGGACAGCCAGGGTGCTTACACAGAGAAATCCTGTCTCAAAAAAACAAAAGGAAGGAAGGGAGACGACGCTGGGGTTTGAGTGTTTAAAAAAAAAGTCACCTCCAAAAAAATTAATGGATCTCTTTCTTTATTGACTCTAAAAATATAGCCAAAGTAGTAAGCTGTGGAACTGAATTTTTTCTAGATACCATCTTTTCTGTTTATTTTGAGTTTTAAGACAGTGTCTCACTACTTAGCCCTGGCTGTCCTGGAACTTGTTTTGCAGACCAGGCTGTCTTGAACTCAGAGATCTGCCTGCCTCAGGTTCCTGAGTGCAGGGACTAAAGGTGTGTGTCACTGTACTCGACTTAGATACCATCTTTTTAATTATGCAATGGGCAGATCACCTCAGCTATGAAGGGTGCCAGAGACTAGCAGCGCCCTGCCCCTTGCTGTCACTCGCAGTGGAGACCTACGTGCCTGGCTAGTGCAGCATAAACGTAGCAAAGGTGTGCTGGGATATTTGACGCTCACCTTGGGAGCCAGGTCTGAAGCCCCTCTGTCAGAAGTGCCCTGTGGTTCTGCTAGATGAGCCTTCTCGGAAAGGCTGCTTCTATCTGGAGACAAACCCTCCTAATAACCTCGTAATCCCAGGGTCCTGGGAGCAGGCTGATAGTGACAGCTCAGAAATATGACAGCTTTCTTTTTCTTTCATATAGACCGTGTACGCTTTACCAACCATCGCGTTTGCGTTTGTCTGCCACCCGTCCGTCCTGCCAATCTACAGCGAGCTCAAAGAGTAAGATCCCTTACATGTTTGTGCCTCATTCTTTATTACCTGCCTCCTGCTAATGGGCAAGCTTTGAGTGAGAATAAACAAAGACAAACTCTTCATCTGGCTTCAATGCTCCTGCCGTTCTTGAGCAAGCTCTTATGTGAAGGAAGCGCTAAAGTCTGCAATATTTTTGGCTATAAATGAGAAAGTGACAAGCCATGTGACCTTAATTAATTAGTTATTTGTGTGTGTGCCTATATGTGTGCCACGCTTGCTGTCACTGTCCCTGCCTTATTCTATTGAGAAAGAATATAATTAATATGGCAGCCAGCAAGCCAGTACCACCTTGCAACACATCCCCACCCTCCATCCCCACCCTCCATCCCTCACCCTCCATCCCCACCCTCCATCCCCACCCTCCATCCCCACCCTCCATCCC